GGACCTGTTACTATAGAACTGCAAAGGCTTTGGACAGTAAGAGTAAGTAAAACCCATTCAAACCTATACATGAGGTGACCACGTGAAAACATCTGTAAGATGAATGTGTAAACTTACATAAGGCAAAACATACATAAAAGTTCTTAAACTCTGAGAAGAATTAATTTTGGCTCTTCAATTAATACCCATGATGAGACTTGAATCCTTTTGAATGTTTATATTTTTACAGATTCACTTTTGTTTTTAAAAGAAATGAAGAACTAGTCTTGTTCAGTGTTTTGGAGGAGACTTATTTTCAATTAGCTACTGGGGTTTTTTTTCTCCTTCTGTCTCAAAGAGATGGAATCACAATATCAAAAGCTTAAAGAAATCAGTGGCCTTATGACCACTGACAGACACGGTGGTCCTTTCTCTCAAGCTACTAGCAATGAAAAGCTAATTGCTTCTAGGTAGATAAGGTGAATCTGACTTTTTTTTCTGTGCTTGTGCATGTTAAGCATTTAGCACCGCAGAACTCTAATTTGGATAAAACTGCAGTGTAAGTCTTGGGCAACGGTGTGAGCTGCTGCTTGCACACCTTCTCTTATTGAAAAGGCAACTTTATTGTGCACAATTCCTTTGTTTCTGAGTACTCTTAGAAAAGTAAAAATATGACAAACAGAATTTAGGTAAGTGAGGCTTTCATTCCCACATCTCCTCTCCGGATCTGTGCATACTATTCTCACTGGCCACAAAGGGAGTTCTGTTTCTATACCAAAGGAAATAATTTGGTCCCCAGTGCTAATATTAGGCTTAGGAGAAAGCAACAACAGTGAATACTTTAAGTGTTCTCACAGTTTGTTCGGGCTTTAGTGTAGTCAGTGAAATCAGCTAGTTTGCATTTGAAAGAAGAATCAGTCCTATTGTGTCTTCGGATATAGGTGCATGATGTCTCTTAAAATGAAGAAGGCTACATAAAGATTGACTTTGAATATATTCAACAATCAGTGTAGTATACAACAAACAAGATCAGAAGCCTGTCTTAAGGTGCTTATTTCTAATTAAGCATTCCCAGTCTTTTTTTTGCCGTCTGCACAATTGGACATATTTTACTTGCTGTGCAAGCAGAGATATCAGCAAGAGACTGGCACCAAGAGAAAGGCCAGGTCCTCCTAGCAAGCAAGGACAGATTGCTTCTATGTTTTTTTCAGTCTTTTCAACAGGAGAAAAATAATATCCAGCACCTTGCCATCAGCAGTGCAGTAAAAAATCTAATCTTAGGATCATCTGAAATTCAATGAGTTTTCATATCATGATATATTTTGTGTCATATGTCAGTCTACCTTTGGACATCGAGCAAGGTTTCTTGTTCAGGGTCTCCAGATGACAGAAATTATTGAAGTACCTTACAAAAGCCTTGATTTAGGGAGATGCGTATAATCCTACAACCACACGGGGTTCCCAAGTTAAAACACTTTTCACGAAATCTACCCATAGACATATAAGCACAGAAGACCTCTAGATGCAAAACAAGCTTCCCAAAGGAAGCCAGATTAATCTGGTACCTTATTCTGATAACTGCCTTTTATAAAAGCAACGAAAATGTGGTAGATATGAGTCTATCACGACTTCACAAAAGCAGCTGCTACAATGACATTTGTAATTGTTAGTCTGAGCAGAAGAGATGAAGATAAATAGAATTGTTAATATAGGAAAGGAACTGACTAAAGAAGATATAATACTATGTTGTGCTGTAGGGATAATTACAGGCTTGGGGTGAGATTACCCATCCCGAAAGATCTGTTGTTGGAAATGAGCTTATTAAATATTTGCATTAATAATATGCACCCAAAAGTTTGTGTTTGCTAATGAAATTAGGAGATGATGAAGTTGACAGGCAATATTAAATCAGTGAAGAATGGGACTCACACAGGAAAAAAAGAAAAAAAGGAATCATAGAGTAACAGAAATGGGATGGAAGTGAACAGAATAAAATGTTAAACCTGGCCTTTAAGAATTAGAGAAATGACAGAGCAGAATGACTTGGGTGTTTATAACCTGTCTGTGGATGAGCTTTTAATACAGGTGTGAAAAAGGCAAGCAAGATCCCCTTCTCATTAAAGTCTTGGCTGATAATCCTGGGAATTATTACTGTTTCACTAAATGTTGATAAAACTTCATCCAAAATCTAGGCCATTTTTGCTCAGGAGAGGTTTATTCCAACTACAGAAGAGAAAGATTACATGCACATATGACATGGTGAACCCGGAGGATGGACTACAGTGGACCCAAGCATTCTGGTTCTCTTGCAGTTCAAAGCAGGAACGAAGTCAAGTGTGGGCCCTTGCTCCCTTCTGGATCCTGCACCTGGGTTCTCTCCTGCACAAGCCAAGGTGAAGGGAGGATGCAGTGCACCTCATGCACAGTCAGACTGAAGCTGGGAGTGCTCCCAGCTTCACCCCATATACACAGCTTTCCAAATTTCTTTCATACATCTATCTCTGAGACAGAATAAACCTGATGGTAAAGCAGCAGCAAGAGCTAGCAATTCAAAACAGGCAGCGAGAAAGAATATTGTTGAAGCTAGAACTTAATTACTTCTGCTGTGAAGTGTTTCAAAGTAGATTTATAATCTTTAAAAGACAATAAGTGCTAGTAAGCTGAAAAGAGGCCGAAGTGAGGTGAACAGGGTGTGTCTATAGAGAAGTGGCAGCAGTGAAAGGTGAGTGATAAAACCTCCTAGACTTCCACATCATCCTCTCCACACACAGACATGTTCTATATGTGATAAAATGATAAAAACGCCACAGGATAGCTTGCTTGGCTCCCTTTAAGAAGTTCACCTCATGCCACTGTTTGCCGATCCCAGGAAAAATGGGCTTGGGAGGCGTGTACTTGTGACAATCTCCTGGAACTTGATAAAGAAGATACAAATGTTACTATAAGTAAGTTACTATATAGTAAGAAAGAGGGAGAGGCCTTGTCTTTCCTTAGAACTTGGGATTCTTGCATAAATGAAGTACAAAATATTGTGGCGTGCTTTTGTAGTATTTAATTTCAGTCTGAAGACAGTTTGTGGCATGACAGACACTGTCAAAAGGTAGGGTTGGACCAACCCAAATGGGCCCTCTCAAGTGAAAGAGATGCATTTCTTTGGCTCTAGCAAAGAGATACTATGACAACAGCCTGCTAACAATACAACACAAAGCTCTTAAATACTAAGTAGTAAACACTACATTTGGAATGGCAATATGATTTTAGAGATACTATGAAGCAAACCTGACCAACCCACACATAACAGTCCAAGAAGCTGGAGCTGATATATCTACTGTCATCAAAAGGTGTCTGATACAGCCTACAGCATGGTATCCTTTACCTGCTAACCTAGAAAGATGGGCACCCCTGCCACGGCCATGTTCCTATCACTGTGAAATTGTTTTAACATTGATTCAGTCAGAAGGCTATTGGCTACATCGTTCCCAGTTCCTGCAGCAACAGGCTATTCCCTGAGTTTCTGCTATCACAGAATAACCAAACCTAACTTCACTCAGCATATGCACTTTGTTTGAAAAATGTTTAGCCTTTCAGTGTCAGTGATCCCCAAGGCCAAAATGAGCTCAGGGCTTCTGTGAATGTACCAGGACAAAAAATTAAATAGTTGCTGTATATATCCCCTGTCCCTTTTTACTCTTTTTGTTGTGGCTTGGATTATAGAAAGAATGTGATGTCCAGGGTCTTCAAGCCCAAATCACAGCTCTCACTAGCAACTTCATCATATGACCCTGCTCATACAAAAATATCCTAAAACCCAGGTCTTTAGTTCCCACTGTATTCACTGCTTTGATAGTTAGAACTCTTCTCATTTTCCAAATAAATGTATCATGATTCTTTTGTCCTTTGGTTAAAATGTTATTGTTGGCGGGGCTGTTTCTCAGTGACATTTACCTCGATGTATTTATAAAGCAATCATATCCCCTCTCAGTCACTGTTTCATTTGGCTCAACTGCCAAGCTCTTTCATCAAGTGTATCAGACATAATATGAAGCAAGACTCTTTCAGATGTACCAACTGTAAAGAGAGAGATCCAACATATTTGAATACTTCTTGATACAGTCCTTCTAAAAAGCTGCTTCATAGGAAGGATGGCAGCCAGCTCCCGCAGTTCTGTAACATCAGTGGCAGAGGACTGTGCTGCCAAAGGTGGAGAATTCAGACCCTGCTGCCAACAAGCACAGTGAGCCTTCATGCCAGCAGCAAATGGAGATCTGGAAGTACACACTAAATTATTGTTCATTGGGAGTTGAGGGGTTTTTTTCTTCATAGATACTAACATCTGAGAACAATCCAAGTTCACTCTTACAGCAGACAGTACATTCTCCTATACGTTGTACAAAGAATGATAGGCAAGAATTTGAACAATTGATGACTAACCTAGCAACACCTGACTATTTTCTGAAGTAAATTATAGCCTATTTCCTACTCAACAGTGGAATATCACTAACACCCTGCCATCTTGCCTGACTCCATTGAGATTTCTAAATACAATATCCCCTTCTCTGATTTCAACTCTTCCCGCTGTCAGGCTCTATTAGGCATAACAAGATCCAGACAGATTCAAGATTAAGCAACTTTTTTATAAAATCCAATTGAGGACTTTCTTACCTTGAGGGTGCAGCAGATATTACATTAACCAGATTGTGCACACTTTCCATGCAAGAACTAAAGGCATATATATATATATGCACAGTGACTTAATTCTCTTATGAAATAAATGGGGGCTTTCTGGATTCCTCCCACCATAGACATCATGATCAAGCTCAGCTAATTGAGACCTTGTGGGAAAAAGGTGTTCCTTAGCAAGGCCTTATTTTTCCAGAAGCAATATGGGAGAGCTGTTGTCTAGCGTAAGAAGTCTGTGCAGATTATTAAGGCAGTAATAGTCACGTGGAGAGAGGGGAACCAGGTTTAAAAAGCTCCTTACTGGCTAGGCTTCAGCTTCAGCTTCAGCTCCCAGAGAGACTGCAGTCCCAGAGTGGTGGAACCAAGAAGGAGGAACCCCCATTCGGTCATCTTCCCCCTCCCCATAGGTACCAGGGAATGGGACAGAGACATCCCTCTTGCTACCTGGTGAGTCTGTCAGCAAGACTGCTTCAGGGCTCTGCAGCTGGGAGCAGAGGCTATCCTCATGCCCAGAACAGAGCTCATCCTTTATCCTATTGCTAAGGGAGAATGGGTGTGCAGGCTCACTGAAATGTAGGGGAGTGGGGGCATATCTGAGGGCACTGCATATAACACGGGTATGTATTTGATGCATGTGGTGGCAGCGACTGGTGGATGGTATCAGGGGCAGGCAGCAGTGTAGCTGCATGTCAGTGTAAAAACGTGGGTTGTACTGCATGGGCAAACAATAAGTGTTTACAGATACTGTGTCATGACTGCACAGGCGAAGTACTTGCAGCACGTATGGCATGAAGTGTCAGAAAGAACAGAGAAAATGGTACTATGCAGTGTATTTGGAGAAGATGAGGGCTGGAAGTCACAGAGAAACCAAAAGAGAATAGAGCAGTGCATGATAGACGGCTGCTCACCCAGATGAGGGCTTTAGGATCCGAGTCACTGCTTGGATCTTGGAGCTTGAACCAAGAGCTTTTTGTGAAAGCAGAAAAATCTGTAAATTGTCAATGGCTGTCCTGTTAGCATCTTTGTGGCCTAAAGAGAGGAAGGGAAGAGGCCAATGTGCAAGCTTTAACTCTGAGTTGGGATGCTTTTTCACATTCGAAGTTTGCAGAGAAACCTGGTATTCCCTGTGAACTCTAGCACCTCCTTCACATATTACAGTTATAACACTGTATTATCAGTCCTCACTGACTGAATAGGAACGGTAGGCTGCAACACCACCAAGAATCCTCTGCGATCTGACCTATTCTCATTGATGCCAGGCAGAAGGGAAGGAATCTATTTAACATTGGGGAGGGGGAGCCAGTTTCTGCCTTTTGTGCTCAAATTTTATTCCCTCAACAGACACTGAGTGTAGAGTTATGGCTCACAGCTGTAACAGGAGGAGCCCCTGAAAACCCCTTTCTGCAGCTGTATTTAGCCAACTTTTGGCATCAATCACTGTTGTTCTGCCAGCTAATTCTTTGCTCGTTTTAACCATAAAAAACTCAGGTCCCATTTGGAATAGCAGCAGATAGTTAATGTCCTGCAAATACCTCAGCCTGACAACTGAATCCTACCAGCCCCACGCTTGCCAGAAAAGAGAAAGCCGGGCATCCATCAGTCCTGGTGTAGGAGTATTAGAAGTGTCCAGCTCTGCCATCCAACCTGCATCCCACCAGGTTTTGATGTCAAAAGCCCAATTCTGCTGTTTAACTAAAGCCACGCTAACAGACAGGGGAGAGCAGCTCAGCCGGGGAAGGAGGGAAGCGGGGCAATCCGCACTGGCTCGACCTGTTGCCCGCTACGGCACTTTCAGACTGCTCGACCGGGGACGCGTGTTGTGCCTGGCGGGAAGGAGCAGCTCCGAGCGCCCCGCAGCCGGCGGCACGACGAGCCCTGGGCAGCCGTACCCCTGTC